CGGGCGCAAGCAAGTTCAGAGAAAGCTGGAAAGGCCCCTACACCATTATCGACCAGAAAGCGGGCAACTTCTTAATCGACTGCGGAGGAATGAAACGTTGGGTGAATGCTGCTCTCCTGCGACCATGGTACGAGAGGAAGAAAGGTCCTGGAGGAGGGGCGGGTGTAGAGGGGCCGCTTCCAAGAATGGCTCTGGGGAGCTCTTCGGAGCTAGCTGAGAGCGGATCGCGAAAGACGGCTAGCGACGAGCCTGGGCCCGGAACTACGGAGCGGGAATATGTGGACAGCGCAATAAATCAGACAAATACGCCGCTAGCGCAGCCCACAGGACCGAGGCCGAGCCGATTGACACAGCCCAGAACAAGCAAGTCGAGAGCTCTCGAACGACTCCTGGCCGATCCAAATCGGGTACAGAGAAGCGGAGATCGAGGCGAAAACAGGAAGGCGGGACTTCCAAGTCAGAGCTCCCGAGGCGAAAGGACTGGCTCGCCTCTAACATCCGTACCTGTGTTGCGTGGTGGGACGGAAATCTAGTCGATATTCGATGGCGCGCGTGAGACCCTGATGTGCCCATTTTCGGTGTGCAATAAACGTCTACCCCCCTGTCTTGTCGTTCTCGCTACAATAGCACCGAATCAACACGGATTCCGTCAGCATCTAACATGTACTACAACCTACTGCTTGACAGTGGCAGTTTGACCGAGGTAGCCAACAGTAGGAATGGTATTGATGTCATCTACCTAGACTTTTCCAAAGCATTCGACAGCACAGACCACCGTATACTTAGCGAAAAGCTGCAAGCATTTGAAGTTATAAACACCATCCTTGGATGGATCGGAAACTTCCTTTTTCAGCCGCCCCTTCAGGTCGGAGTTCGAGGTTTATTTTCTGATCCAATTGGTGTGGACTGCGACGTTCCACAAGGGTCGCGATTATTCTTGTTTTTCAGAAAGTACCTTGCGAGTGTCATCAAGTCAAATTTCCTGCTTTTGCCGATGACATCAAGATATTGCGAACAATCAACTGTCAGGAAGAGCACGATATGTTGCAACCAGACTTAAACTGCGCTGTTGAATGGTTAAAGGTAAGTTTACTTCGCTTAACAAGGACAATTGCAAAGCCTTGCAGGTCCGCCACATGCCCACGTACGCATATAAGCTTGGAGACGACATTCTGAAAACCGCCTCACAAAAGCGAGCACATGTAGTGGTGATCCAAGACGACCTCGGCTATTCGGTACAGTCCTTGAACGCGTCCAAAACCACGAACCAACATGTTAGTCTGTTACGGAGGGCATTCGGGAGGTTCATTCCCTCCATCTCCCTTAACATGTTCAATTCGTATGGGAGACCGCATGTAGAGTACGCGATCCAGGCTTGGCAAACCTGGTCAAAAAGTGAACTGGTTGATCTGGAGAACGCACAGCCACGGGCAACGAATAATGTGAAGGGATGTCCCACCTGCAATACCATAGACGACTGAAAGCCCTGGGAATGTACAACGAGAGATATCGCCGTCTACGAGGTGACCCCATCCTGGCGTTCTAGATTTTGTAAAACCCCGGCCACGCTTGCCGCTCCTTCCCGAAGGTTAGGCGCAACGCAGAATTGAGGGGTCATAAATTGAAACTTGTCACCCAGTATAGTCGGCTTGAGTGCCCCTGGAATTATTTTGCTCTTCGAGTATTTCGACCGTCGTACGCTCTTCCCACTTTTCTCATTTCTGCGCATACGTTACCCATTTTTAAACTACTCGAAGATGATTTACACCATTTACATTACTTGATCTGATTTCTAGTCATTGAGTGATGACAAGATGCAGACAAACGTTGTGTTCATCAACCCCCATGAAGTCGGGTTTGACGGAAATACTTAGGTGTTAACGTGGATAATATGGTGAGTATACAGACGTGTTTTTCACTTTTGTGTAACTTCCTTGGAACAACGTTATTCGCACAAGCCATCCCACGGGACTTGTCAAGCCTTGGTTATTTTATTCGATTTATACCATTGTTCCATTTTTCTATTGTTTCCACAGCGACAGCAGTTGGGCCTGGTTCGCAAAGGTGTAGTGCAGTGTGTTACTACCTGTACACGTAAATACCCTGTCCTGTCGGTAGTACTTCTATGTCCTGATGAGCAATGTGCTGTAGTTTTTGATGGTTCTGTATTGCTTCTATGTGATACCACATGGATTTTGCGCATATTACCCAAACTTCTCATCTCTTCTATCTAGCCATTTACGTGTTCTGCTACCGATCTAGTTGTTTGTTCGTTGAGATTGCCGTATTAGCACAGTTTTGTGGCTTTTTGCTTGACATCGTTGGGCTTGCCATTTTGTTCCTTTCATGCGTCGTTCGACGAACTTTGCAGCGGAAGATAGTCGCCAACGGTTTGTGCTGGGTTGTAGAGATTGGAGCGCGTGGCAAGATTGCATCGATTTTCCAACCTTTTATCCATAATGCGGGCGCAAAGCACAAGGCCAAACTTTAGACCTGGTGGCATTTTTATCCGCGCTGTCTAGATAATCGACCTACATAGTTTTACAAAATGCCATTTCAATGGACTCAAGGAATTATGAATTAAAGAAACACTCATTGGGGACGCAGATATTGTTGTAGGTATATTGGGGTCCGTATTTATAAGTTAGTTCGAGTAATTTTTTGAAATAACACCTTGGAGAGCATTTAATAAAATACTTTCACTGTCTGGGGAAGAGTTCAGAAACCAATAAAAAACAACTAAAAGGCAAGCTTCATACGTTTTCTGAGTTCAACCATCCAGACATATAAGTGCAGCTGGTAAAATAAGGCGTCGAGAATAGTAAGTGGATGCTCCGTAATGGTCACAAAATTGTGGTAATCTCGTTAGTAGTCAGCAACTCAGTCAAGGTGAGACGGAAGGTCATTCCGCCTATAAAAAGTATTTCTGGGCAAATTTCTGGATCAAATATGTAATTTGTGAGCCATGTTTCATTCACAGTTCTGATGTTCCAAGTTGAGGTTTCAAGTCGATGGCGTAGTTCTGGTGGCTTAGAGTAGAGTCCCTGAGCGTTCATGTAACTACAAGAAATTTGTGTAATAGCAACATTTTCGTACAGGTGTTTTCACAGTTGGTTGATCTGAGATTTGGACAACAAATTCTGTCTCATCTATACCTGGGGTCAGTGCGGTAGTAATCGTACCTCAAGCAACTCACCTTCTTTGCTGTTATACCACAGTTTCAGTGCCCCTGACACAATGTCAGTGCCAAGGTAATTTGCAAAGGTTTTGGCTTGTTATTGTGATAGCGTATGGAGGCATCAAGACGGGTTGAGGTTAGAATCCCAAAGTTTTTTTATATTATATTGTTCTGCGATGTGCCTCCGTTCATCTATATCGTTTATTGGTTATTCACCTTTGTAGACATGCTGCTATCATGGACCGGCACGACTCTCTCCGTCTCATTTTGACTTGCCACAATCGGATCAGATTTTCGCTCCTGTCTTTCCACCTATGACTTGTCTGGAAACCTGGACACCGAGAGATGTGTCTGTTAAAATGTGGCTGGTTAAAAGTACGCCTTCCAGACCTGATATGTTGCTAAAGTTTAATCAGAGTATCCGAAGTTCCCATGTATATGGAGAATATGTGCTTCGTGAGAGACATGCAAGAAAGTGTTTAGTCCAAGTACTCAGCGTAACTTACCCTAAAGGTTCTACTTTTCGACTTGTAGGTCTTTGAATTCTTGGCTACTTAGCTCTTAGATCTTAGAACATATCACCTTCAACGCCATTGGATTGTGGAGTAACTGCCTATTTTACAGTTCATCGTCCTCTGGAACTGTTTGTCTTGTCTTGCCTGCCTGACAACACAGCGTTGCAACAACTCACATTTTACGCTGTTAATTGAGTTGTTTGATGGGTCCAAGTGAAATTTGGCAGCCTACAGCAGACATATTTGTGGTGATCGCGCAATTCGTGCTTAACTCTTCAGACCTTCGTCAGCCATTCTTCATCCAGCTATTTGAACAAAGTGCTATTGTCCAAGAGCGGACCGGTAAATTTCACCAGTGAGGCTGTGCTCTTCACTGAGCTTTATTTTCTGTTGTTCTGCGGCTATTTAACTACAGTTTTTCGTGTCGGAAGCATGTGTGCTACGACTGAAAAATCACCAGTCATGGGTCCATAAATCCGCATTATTTACTTAACTTTAACTTGAAACCATAAGCTGCGGGAGACCGTTCAACCGACTTGTCCTAACTTCTGTTTGCCACTGATGAGGTACGTTTTTCGGTGTACAGTGGAATGTCTCTTAGATAGTTCTTGTTTTGCGACTGCTTTGAAATTCTGGCTACATAGTACCCTAATTTGCAAATCGAGTTCAGCGACCTTCGGTCGCAAGTCCTCTACCAATTGCATTTGCACTTCTGTCGTTATAACTGGCGTTTCACACTTTTGCGTAAAGGACTGAATAAGTTTGACTATAGCACTACCTAAGCCTACGTTGTAAAAACACAAACAATTTGTGGGTACACTGTGTTTGCCATCGCTTTGTGGATTCATACGGTGTAATTCAAAACAGTGAACACAACAAGAACGTTGGATTCTTGCGATGACTTCCGTCACTTGCGTATCTGATCTACGACTTGGGCTTGTTGCAACTAGAAGATCCCGTCTGCACTAGGTCTGAACCTTATCTTGTAGAGACCTATAACATCGTTCAGCTGTTGTGGTTTCTTGATCTCTTAACCTTCACGTTTTGTGTTTGTGCTCACCATCCATCTAGCTCAGGTAAAATTCACCCGGTAACTGTGACAGCCGCATCCATCTCGCCACGAAATCTTACTTTCAGCGTGGTCTCTTAGTAAGTGGTAGTGGTACTTGCATCCAAACACTTACACATTATTTGTTTTTTGTTGCGGCCCCCTGCGTCGGACACGGAAGTTTTCGGAATCCTCGAACGGAGGCATGTTACACCGTTGACCACCTGCGTCACCTTAGCGCTCGATAGCCAGTACGTACTTTTGCGGTCACCTTCACGCGTGTTCTGCTCGTGTACAAATGAAGCTCCTCGAGAACGCTTGAATCTCGCCTGTCGTCTGGGTGAGGGCCACGAGGTCATTTGTCTGTAAATTTATGCGGAAACGGTTGACAATAAGTGTGCGTGGTCCGTTGCCACGTTTCAGCCGATCGGGACTTGTGGACGAAATTCAGTGTAGGGGATTCCAGTGGCACTGCGATCTCTTTTTAGCAGATCTCGTAATGGAACTGCGACCATTTCCATCCTTACATATCCGGCCGAAACCAACTATATGCTACGTTATTCCTGCAAGTTGTACATGACCCGATTAGCTGAATACTAACTCAGCCACAATTTGGATTTGATATCTCAAGTTTCCTTGCCTCCAGCTATACTGGCGTTCACAAATGACACATGACTACTAACCCCAAGATTAATAGTGACATGGTCTATCCCACTGCATCCATAGATATCTTGAAGATCCACAATGTCCGAGTAAAAATTTTACACAAAGCTGACGCGAAGACCCCATAACATCATGTTTCCAGTATTTCTGGATAATGCCGAATCCATTAACAACAGACTACGTCAATCTTAGCGTGTTTGCACAATCCAGTGAGCTACAAGCCCTCCTCGCTACCGCAACGTGGTGCTCCTCCGATGCATTAGTGTTGTGTCATCCGCTGATCCTACGGATAACGTTGCCGTTGCGTACTCATGACCGGCCTACTTCCTAAATCAGAAGAAAACGTCTCTGGCAAAATCTCCATTTTACACATAGCAAGCAAAAGATACAAGCACGTAATTGGGTTAAACAAATAGTTTATAAGAGTGTTACCTAGCTGGCATTTCAAGAATTTCATCAACTGCTACATGCCTGGTGAATCACTTACTGATAGCTAAATAATACACTCACTGGCAAGCTTCAAGGTAGATAACCTCTTTGGTAGTTATCAACGTGAAACGTTCTCATAGCTCGCTCTCATTGACTGGCCAATAAGTGTAGGAATGCGTCAGGGTCAAACTGCTACTGGCGGTTAACGAAGGAGGCCCGGCTCGGAAGACTGGCATGGGCAGGCTCCCTTAAGACCGTCCACGCGCAAACGGACGTACGAGTCCCTTCTTTGATCTAACTGCGTTCTCATGAATGCTCTCCGCCTTTGATCAGTCCTGCGCCGGGGTTGCATGTTCGACCCTTTTGGAACTTCTGTGCGAAGTAACTCCGAAACCTTCTGAGTATTCGATGGCATATTAAAACTGTCCAGCAGGATACACAGCGGTATTAGCCCATCACTTGTGCTTGCCGGAATGATAGTTCTTCGCAGCTGATTAGTTTGTTTGGTCAAAATCAAAGTGCCCGCTTTGACCTCATAGAGTACCCAACCAAGTATTCACAGGTCTATCCTATCGCCCACTGAGGTATTCCCAGCGACATTCTCTGACCAAAACAAGTGATCTTGGAGAAAATCGACTTGCATTTGTTCTGCGTCTCACAAGGTAATACCTTTCCATTACCTGTTCCTTTCTCGCAGTAGTATGCGCATCGTAAGCATTAAGCAATTCACAGTACGGCGCTTTCTTCCCATTAGCTTATCTACTGACGACAACTGATTTGGCATTTTGCGGGTTGAGGTCTATCTGTAAATTAGCAAGAAAGCTTCCTGTATCTTTTGTGTAGTTCCTTCCTTCTCATCTTCAGTAGCGATCGCTTAAACGTGTCGACCAGGCCCTCTGCTTTAAAATTTGACTGGGTGTGAAGTGGCGCGTAAATGTGTGATGCCATTCTGTGCGCACAAATCAGTAAACTAAAAAAAGTTAACTGAGAACCATATTTGATGACCAAGACTTCAGGCACTTCGTGCGCGCAAAGGACGTCAAGCTACTTGCTGAAGGAGATAACAATGATGAGATACTGTTGCCCATCCACGGGACCAAATAAATCAGCTTGAACTCGTTCCCAAAGCTTCCACTCCATTGATCAAGAAGTTAGTTCTGCCTTTCTGGGTGCCTTACTGAGAAGAGCACATCTCATACTTGAGTTTGCCAGTTGCTGGAGTTTCGAAACAATGTTTGGCCAGTAGGCAAAATTTGGCGCAATGGTTTAGCTACTGTTCATTCCAGAACGACCTCAGTCTGGAGTTACTGGAGAACTCGGTGACGAGGCTCTTTGAGAATGATCAATCTTTTCGCTGGGACTAAACACCCATTAACGACTGCTAGCTCCTCTTTCCTCCGGAGAAAACTTGTTAAATTGCCGGCTAAATTGGCGCTCAGCCATTGAGTAGTGTGGAATTTGGTTGTCTGCCTTAAGACGAGATCTCGTGCAGACGCGACACGAACGAGCTCGAACGTCACAGAGGGGTTCTGAAAGCTCCTCATCACTACTTGGTTCACTTCCACTTAAGAGACATTGCTGTGCCCCAAGATTTCTTGCTAGTGCTGCCGATATTCTAGTAGTCTGGAAAACATCCGCTCGAACTATGTCCTGTGCTTATACAAAATCATAACCGAGCACAGACGTAGTCCAGCGCTGTAGTCTGTTAGCGGTATAGACGGGTATATCAGCCCTAAAGCCGAATATTACCAAGAGTGACTTGTGGTCGGTAAGCGAGGCGTAGCTTCTTCCGTACAATATTTTGGGAACTTCCGTTACCGCGAATGTTATCTTTAAAACTTCTCTCTCCCTCTGCTCGCAATTCAGTTCGGTGGTGACAATGGCTGGGCTACATATGCAACCGATTTTTTCTGAACCGTGGAAGATAATTGCCTCAATGCTATAGTTCGAAGAATCTGCCGTCACCACGATTTAGAGGGTAGGGTCGTGACGAATTAGCAAGAGGTCAAAACTCAGCACCCTCTTCAAACCTTCAAAAGACTTATAACATTCTTGGGATTAGTGCCAGCCAGTAGCACGCTGTGCATCTGAAACGGTAATTGGCTGTAGTGATTGAGGAGTCCCAGGACGCACCTCAGCATGAGTACAACTTTTGGACAGGGCATCTTTTTGATAGCTACAGTATTCGCTGGATCCAGGAGTCTCCAATCGTTGTCATTTGTGAAACCAAGAGAAGTAATTCAGTCCATGAAGAACGTACACTTCTCGGGGCACAGCCTGAATTCATACTATTGTATCCGATCAAGTGCCACGTGCAGCATTTTGAGGGGGCCATCTGCAAATCCTCCGAACACAATAATGTTATTCAAGTATGCAGTAGTGTTGTCTACGTCTGTCCGCACGGTATTCATAATGTGCTGCAATATTCCTGACCGGGCTTGATTCCGTATAGAAGTCGATAATACAAGTTGTAGGACTAGTAACTTCTAGTCCGAGAAGGTGCGCGAACTTAAGCGCGGATATCAGAAGGCAGTTGGAGTCGGACACAGCGGACTGTATTCGATGGGCTACACGAACACGTAGACGGATGAAGCGAGACAAGAGCAGTACGTTAGCGCGGGAACTTACAAGACGGTCAAGTGTCGAGCCGGATGTGGGTCAACATGGACGTAATGTAAAGGCGATTAAAACAAGCAAGAATAGTGTATAGTTATCTTTTGCAGCGCTACAAGGTAAAACTTCCGGTGCGCATTAATCGTCAGTGTTGAGTTTTCGCCTCACAAGGTTTCTCCCCATAAAATAACACATGTCTGTTTAACAGCGCTGACGGGGGCGGATGTGACTCAACACTAAATAAAGTCACTGCTTCCTACCTTTCCGGTGGATCATACCCCACTCACGGACGTCAGCCAATTCGAAGATATTATCTGATCCCTTCCTATGTTGGCAAATTCATCGAACACAAGTACAAAATCAGCACAGCAGTAACAAATTCACTCAAGGTGATTACAAACCGTGCATTTACATATGTGCATAAAACACTACTAGTATATACTGGTTACATAGTAACACTTGTGACAAATACTGATTATACGTTCGGTATTACTATGATCATGTCTTTTTGGGCTCGTTCCGCACTGTCGAAAATTAAACATTTATTTAGTTGTTAATTTAAGGCTTCATCAACTTCTACTTACAGGTACGCAACCGCTTAGCAAAACTATGACCCTCGTTTCTTTTCAAAAAAGCATCTGGAATCGGCAGACACTGATAGGAGTTTAATGCTTCATTTATGCCTTGGAGTAGTCGGCACATATACGAACATGATTTTTCGGCTTCGTGCCTACCACAATTAGAACCGCCCACGACGAGTAGTTCAAACCATGCATAACCCCGGTTTTCTCCAAACGATCTAGCTCTTAGTCAATAACGGGAACAGTGACGTAATGTACTCGTAGTTTTGCACGCTTGCTATAACAGTCTCTCTAAACAACTTGACACTACCCTATTGATCACTAATTTCACTATTTTTCCGAAATATTGACCGTCTAGAAACAGAACTAAAATGTTACCATATCCTTACCTCGTATGGTTACAACAAAACTCCTTGAACGTCCACTACTAGTAATTATGCCAGAATCTCTCTGATAATCAGATCCTGATGCGCCTTCTTACATTTTCTTTTGACTTGTCTACAACTCGCTTAATGTAATGTGAATGTTACCAGTATCATTACTATATCGGCTTTACATCTGAGATGCCACATAGACAAAGGTTGGTAGCAGGTGATTTCAATATATCAAAGCTAAGCCATCCCTGTCTATACACAGCTTTTTTCTTCTCTGTTATAAGTAGTTCGCTGAACACAGTGGTTGACCAAGATTGTTGGCAGCATCCGGTTTCGGATTTGCCTGTCACTGCGGCCTCCATAGGGCAGTCACTGGACGCTTGCACCTACCGATGGATCATGGGTGGCCAACACTGCGCCACCAACAACTCCATCCACACACCATACCCGGTGCCAACCTGAAGGAACAAGACCTGGAGGCATGGGATGGGAGCCGCGTTGTAACAACAGAACCGGCCCACATTCCTTTCGCACGCTCAGCGGCAACTTCCCAGTCACTGTAGTTGGCGGAACCTGAATACCATACATACACAAAGCGAGGGCTGGGCAGCAGTCCGTTTCACACAGTACTTATTTAATCTGCAAGCCTAACGCCGTCACGAAAACGGTGCACCCTATCCCTTCCAGCAACGACCAACT